TCCCTCATCGCGAACTCCATAGATCGCTGCGTGAGTTCCTCTTCGTCAAAGGCTAGCGACATCCTCGGTGGCTTCATGTCAGGACTTCCCTCATCTTCTTCGGGTATCATATCACGCAGTGGAAGTGATAGTCTCGGCCGCGGTATATCAGGCTCCTGGTCAAGGGCGTCCGTATCATCTACTGGTTCAGGCTCGGGTTCTTCGTGAGGGGATGATCGTATAGGTTTAGATGAAGGTGCCAATGCTATAGAATCCCTGATTAGTATATCCCCCCCAGCACGTAGCGTAGAGCCAAAAGGCCAACCTTTCCCAAGATTCCGCAATATATCTATCGGCGTCTCCCGCCTTACTCGCCCACTCTTCCTCCTATCCCTCCCAGGCGTCGCGGCCCGTCGTTGCATAGCTCGTAGCGCATGTGGTGTGGTCGGGGCTGCGCTACCTGGTGCATCGCGTGGAGTGCGTCGAGTAGCTGTTCGGGGTGTGAATCCGCCATACCTGCTTCCGGGAGTGGTGGGATGTCGGGAGGAGTTGGCGAGTTGGTGGAGCTGGATGGGTTAGTGATGGCTGTGGATGGGTGTATGAGGGAAACAAAGCGGGGTAGGCGTACTGCGTTGTAGGGAGTTCCTCTTGAGGTTGGACGGTCTCGAGTGTCTAGTCCTTCTGACTTTCTGGGGGTTCGTTTATTGTCTTTTCGTTTGGAGGACATCGTTGGTTCTGATGTCACCGGTGACTCTCCACCCAGGGTGGGAGGGCAGATGAGGAGGAAGGTGTATAATAGCAGACCCTAATCATCTAATGCCCATTGAGAGTCCGTTCAATGGAAATGTGCGAATATCTGTCAATTCAACGCGTTGATTGTCTTCGGTGCTGGTAGTCGCGTCTTGCGGAGTTTACTTCGGAGAACCAAAACTAGCTATGGTCTGTGCGTTATGCATATCATCGTTATCGTGAAAACAAAAATTTATTATCTCGGATTTCACCACAAAGACGGAATTTCATATCTTTTCGAAGGAGTTCTAACGAGATACATGCTTGCTGTTTGTGCGCGTATCTATTCACAATGTCGAAAGCCTCCGTATCCTCCACCACAATCGAAAAGAAGCGGAAACGAGAGACCAAAGATGCCGATAAGCCAAAAGCTGCCCAGCTGGAGGAAGGAATCCCACAAGTAGACGAGGGGTCTAGCAAGAAGAAGAAGCGCAGACGGAATAAGCAGATAGTGGAGGAAGTCAATGATGATGGGAAAAAGGATGGTGTGGATGAATCGATTGGGAAAATGGATGGCAGATTGCTGGCGGATTTCTTTGCGCAGCAAGCGAAGAGGAGTAACGACGAATTGACGGCGGTGGAGTTGAGTGATTTGTATATTCCTGGTATGAGGAGAATAGCAATGCCTTCACTTAGTGGGAAGGGGTACGTTTATGCGTAATTGAGCTAATTGTATGGTATAGAGCAAGCCTTCCTCGACACATCTTCCTGGGACTCTTCAAGGAAAATAGACGACCTCCCTGCCTTCCTTAAGAAACACACCCCAAGCAAAGGCTCGCCTTTATCGAAAGCGGCAGACGAGAATGGAAGCCCACATACACTTGTGGTAACACTTGCCGGTCTTCGTGCAGCCGATCTTACACGGTTAGTTGGGGGTTCCCACCCGACCTTAGTTTGCGCCAGCTAATGTTGTTGGCAACAGAGCTCTACGGACATTCCAAAACCAGAATTCCGCGGTGGGGAAGCTATTCGCGAAGCATATCAAGCTAAAGGAAGCTAAGGAATATGTCGCGAAAACTAGGTATGTCTCCTAAGCACAAACCCCTATTCCACAACTAACTTTCTCCAGGATGGGTATGGGAGTCGGGACTCCAGCACGAATAAGTGATCTAATAAATGCCGGTATGTTTGACCACTCCAAGTGAACCGATAATTCAGCATTATATCCTAACCCTATGTCCAGATGTCCTAAAACTCGAACACCTAAAACGCATAGTAATCGATGCTTCATATATCGACCAGAAGAAACGAGGGATCTTCGATATGAAAGAAGTATTCATACCTCTACTACAGCTTCTTACTCGAGCCGATCTTCGAGACCGGTACACGTCAAAGGATGAGAAAGTGCATATTCTTGTCTTTTGAGAAGCGAAGCTACGTGAATTCGATCCAAATTTATGATACCCAGGGTCTTGAACCGCCAAATACCTCGATCGCGAGTGTAACGATCAAACTCAGCATGGCGGGGAGTAGGGATTAAAGCAGAATCCATTTCCTGCATGCGAGTTAACATATACCCCATCGGGGTGAATAAGGGGTTCTCAAATCTTCTCTCGGAGGATTCGCCTGGGTCTTCAACGACTGAAATGACCCTCCTTCCCACCCCATATCAAAAACAGCCAAAGACGTGGAACTCATGTACAAATAGACATTATCAACTATAAATCGAGTCTCCCGATTACCATACACTCTCATATCCCATTTCTACATAACACCATCTGTTTTATTAACCCATCGTAGTCCTCCCAGCACGGCTTGCCATTACCCCCCAGTTCTCACTCTCGGAATCTACCTCACCTACCCATTAACAATCGTCCCCCCATTGGGATGCAAACTCTGCCCCGAAATAAAACTACTATCCTGACTCGCCAGGAACACGAAACAAGTCGCCACCTCACTCGGCTGCCCGGGCCGACCCATCGGCGTTGCGCTGAACTGCTCCTGGGCCTCGGTGGTCATGGTCGATGGGATGAGTGGTGTCCATACTTTTCATCCGAGCTGTCAGTCACTCTACCACTGCATACGGGGGTCGGGGTAGGATAGGAATGCTTACTGGGTCCCGGACAGACGCAATTAACCCTTATCCCCTTCGAAACCTGCTGATTCGATAATGCGCGTGTGAACGCTACGATTGCGCCTTTTGTGGAGGTGTAATCTAGGAGATCAGGCCGTCCAATATACGGGTTCACTGAGGCGCAGTTTATGATCGTCGAGCCGGATTTAAGGTGCGGGATCGTGTATTTCGCAAGGTAGAAGTATGGGTGGATATTCGTGTTGAATGTGTTTTCCCATTGCTCTCTGCCACGCACGGTTAGCTAACCCAGCCTATCTTGCGGGAAGGAAAGGGGGTTCCCATACTCATCCAAATCCTTAATATCATAAACCATGTTCTGAAACGCCGCATTATTAACCAGAATATCCACACCCCCCATCCTCTCTACCCCTTCCTTAACAATCCTCCTACAATTCTCTTTACTCCGCACATCACTCGCCATCAAATGGCACTTCCCACCAAACTTCTCAACACCCCGCTTCGTCTCCTGCGCATCTTCCTCTTCTTCAGGGAGGTAGACGATTAAACTCGTTGCGCCTTCGAGAGCGTATAGGTACGCGACGGCACGGCCAATTCCGGAGTCGCCGCCTGTTATTATGGCTTTTTTGCCGGCGAGTTTGGAGGCGGGTTTGTATTGGGCGTAGGTGTTTGCGTCGTCGGTTGGGAGGTGGGCGGAGACTGGTTGTGGGCCTTTTAGGTTGGCTTGGAGGCCGGGTTTTTCTTGGTGTTGGGGTGGGATTTGGTGGCCTTAGTTATATGTTAGTTATGCTTTAAGGGGGTATAGGGGTGAGAGAGGCTGACCGGGTTGGAATTGGGATGGGTTATCTGATCCGGAAGACATTGTGATAGATAGTTACCCCTTTTATATCAATTTATAGAATCCAATAACTGATATCCTGGTCGGAAACAGCAACAAAAGAGAATATATATAAACGAATGCTTCCCCCAAGATTTACTACCAACATGACGTTCTAAATAAATATCTAGAACCTTTTTAAACTTGCTCTCGAACCGAAAATGATAACACCAGTACATCATAGTAGCTATGATGTAACCGCCGTTGGGTGGCCAAGAAGCTTATGTAACAAAATATCTAGATATATCAATCCGCCTGCGACGATATATGGAATCAATACTTCTCTCATCTTGCATATAAATTTTTATACCTTAAAGATATAAAAGATTTAAACCGAGAGCAGATATGTCTTCGGAGTCGGGCGGAAAAGAACGCCACGAGCATACCGCACCTATCGGGGGTACGGGAACTATATCAACAGCGGCGAACAATATCGATACCGAGACGGGGAGTACTAAGAATGTGATGAATAGGCAGGGAGGGGGGTCTGAATTTGTATGTTTCCCACACATAGAAAAGCCAATCCACTCCGGGCGTGCCATTTCTCTCTATATCCGAGAGGGAGACCTGGCAAAGATTTCCCTCGAAGGCAATGCCCTGAGAGCTCTTCTTCTCCTAGAAACGCAACCCCATAGAGCTCCTCGCTGACTAGATACTGTAAACAGCCCCAAACTGACCAAAACCGAACTGGGTGGGCCTCCAACGTCCTCTCTACAGGAATGTTCTCCGGTCTAGAAGACCAGAAGCACACGGACCACATCCGGGCCACGGGGGGCGACACGGAGGATCTGTCGAAGCATAAACCTGGAGGATCGGCTGCCCCGGGCGGGCTGACGGGTGTTAAGAGTGCTTGGGATCAGTATGTTGCGTCCTCGTTACCTAGCCTCTGGTTGGAGATAGGGAGGGGTTGGTTGTCCCGTGGACGAACGCCCCTCTTGAAAAAGGTATCCGTTGGCTAACGCATCTTATTATAATTTAGTTTGACGAAGAAGTGATTCTTCGCGGTTCCTATATCAAGGGGAGAAAAAGCTGGAGTTTGGTCGGTTTCCACTGCGTATATGTATCATATCATCTTGTTTGTAAATTTATTAGATGAGTTGGGCGGAAGCGTATTTTGGCATCAATAAATTCATAGTATTTGCTTTTCGAAGTCGCTGTCAGGCCCCTAATAAGTCGCGTCCAGCATCGACATGTTTCGAGTGCGCAAAGCTGTTCCTCCTTCGTTCATAGCTTTGGATAACATCGTGCGGGGTTGGTGATCCTCGTGGGTCCCTCACCAGCCCAACGACTCATCTCATTCTTCTTTCGCAAACCCACCAACACGTCGACGTGGGACAGTGGTTACTCCGTTCGGCTGCTAGTCATGTGACATATTAGTTTACCGGATGCCTTCGGGCGCGTCAGTTCGAATCTGGCCGTCGACGCATATTTTTTGAAAAATGGGGGAACTGTTGGAGAGCTGTTAGTGACTCTCGTCTTTGCGGGGCTGGATGCTCTTTTTTTAGGGCAGGGAGGAGATAGCCCTAGAAAGGCGGATAAAGGTCGATGAGATAAGCTTAATAGCCACGTGACTGGACTGGAAGAAGCGGAGATGGTGCTACTCACCGCCTTGTATTTTTTGTCGGCAGAATAATAATTATCAAAATTTCAACGACAAAAAGAAGAGAAAACTGACGAGCTCCGAGCTGCGGAATCTGGGTGTTTGAACAATTCGAGAAAAAGTTGGGTTTGACCGGATATTTTGGATATCCGACATTGAAGAAGGCGGATTTCTCATATATAAAGCATACTCCAACAAGTGGAAAAGAAAGAATGGGCGAGACCGACAAAAAGCGCAAGCGCGACGCCCAAGATGGGGTCGGCGAGAACGGCGCAGAGGACCGGGTCAAGGAAGTGAAGAAGACGAAACGAGATGATGCCGATGCGAGTGGGAAGTCGAGGAAAGAAGAGAGGAGCGCGATGACGAAGGAGGAGAAGAAGGAGAGGAAGTTAGCTAAGAAGGAGAAGAAGGAGAAGAAGGGGAAGGATGGGAGTGATGCGAAGATTGAGGGTGAGGAAGAGAGGGCGAAGATGGAGAAGAAGGAGAGGAAGAAGGAGAAGAAAGAGAAGAAAGAGAAGAAGGAAAAGAAGGAGAAAAAGAGATCGAAGAAGGAGGGGAAGGAGGAGGATGGTGATGGTGATAATGAGGAGGGCGGTGTCTCGATAGATCAGGCGCAAAAGGCCAAAGCCGAGACGAATGGTGATCAGAATGAAAACGGCGCAACCGCGACTGAAGACGCCGAAGTCACAGCTGCCAGAGACCCCAAATCGCAACGATTCATCGTTTTCATTGGTACCTTTCCCTCCCACCCCCCTATCATATCCCAACTAACCATTATTCCCAGGAAACCTCCCCTTCTCCTCTACCCTCGAAAGCGTAACAGCACATTTCGCCAAAATCCAACCCTCCCACATCCGCGTCCCCATGGAAAAAGACAACAAGAAAGCCCGTGGATTCGCATTCCTTGAATTCGAAGCGTATGATCGCATGAAGACTTGTTTGAAGCTGTATCACCATTCATCATTTGATGATGGGAAGAGTCCCGCGAGGAGGATTAACGTTGAGTTGACGTATGTGTTCTAGTTCTACCTTACCTTCCTTGCTGTGTTGATGGATGCTAACTGGGAATTCCAGTGCTGGAGGCGGCGGCTCCTCTTCAAACCGAATGGCCAAATTAAAAGATAAGAACGAGAAGCTCGAGAAGGAGAGAGCCAAGGACGCGAAGGAATTGATGAAGAAGAAAAAGAAGGAGGAGAGTAATGGCGCGAATGCGCAGGAAGCTCCTGCTGCTGCTTCCTCTGCTCCCGAGGCAGAGCCGCAGACGGACTTTGGTGATGTGCATCCTAGTCGGATGAGTAGGATGAATGGTGATGGTGGTGATGATGATTTCGGTGGTGGTAATGATGTTGGTGGTGGTCGTGGTGGTGGGAGGGGAAGGGGGCGAGGGAGAGGGAGAGGGAGGGGGAGGTGGTGAGAGGGAGCTTTGAGTTGGGTTAGAAAAAGAAAAGGGAGTGGGGAGAAAAGGGGTGAACAGGATAGGTAGAGATGTGTTTCCTTTGTTTATTGATGAGTTACTTACCTGCGACGGATCTCTGTTTTCGACTTTTTTGAAGATATCCTATTCCCTATTTCTTTTGTTTTATCTTGAACGCGTTTCCGAAAGAATACATATTACGTTTGGGCTGGGTACTAGACATGGTCTTGATAATGAACTACATGAACTGTTCAAAATCTCAGATACGATGTGGAAGAAACATCCATTCCCAAAGCAATTTGTACTCCATTATGCTCATCAGAACGCTATTATACGAAGTAGGTAAGTCCCTCTGTGATCTGGCTGTATGAAAAGCGGAAAGTTGGAATATAAAAAGGGCTTTGGAATAGAAGGAAATGTGGAAAGAAGATTGAACTTGAACTTGAAATAAACCCAGAGCTAGTAAGGAGGAAGGAAGAAAAGAAGTAGTTAATTACATACCGCCTGATTTTCCCCGCGCAATAAAGACAAGAAGCAGAGCTGTGAAAGAAGAATGAGGATTATAAAAAGAAATTGGAACTGGGGAGATGTCGGAGAGGTAGTTGAGAAGAGTAGTAGAAACCAAGCGTAACTAGGAGCATAACAACGCACGCAAAAACTAGAGAGGGGATATAAAAAGACTTAAAGGAAGAATTCGTGAGAGAGGTCTATAAGGAGGTGGAAGAGTTTTTTTAGAGTAGGTATCATGGTTGGTGATGTTCGTCTTCAGGTTTTGTGATATGCATCGCATTCCTCCTCATAGATTCTGCGGGAAATCCTTTTCGATAGTATAGCTGAACGCTGAGGGACAAGGTCGCAGTCGCATACGTAATCCAAAGAAAGCAGAGATGCGAGGAGTGTGCGTCGTATCGATTGAATATGAAACAAATCGAAGGTCCATTCGTGTATGTTGGGGGGATAGGTGTTGAGAGTACGGAGTATTGAGACGAATGGGACGTCTGTCCTGGTTTATTCGCCTGAATGCAGATAGATCCAGAGGACATCATCAAACTCATATCGCTTCAATGTTCCCTAACTTCCCAGTTGTAGGTGATATCGACTTTACAGAATGAGGCACTTCTTCTTGTTGGGCTTAGTGAGAGGACGTGGGTTGAGGACAGCACTATAGACACAGTCAGCTTCATAAGCCCATAGATATACGGGCATTGTTCGCCTTACCGGATAGCTTCATCGAAAACGCTCTTCAAGTTTCGCTGGGTCAAAGCAGAGCACTCGAGGTACTTCTGAGCTTTGATTTCCTTGGCGACAGTGAGAGCCTGCTCGTAGGAGACAGGTTCCATCTTCTTGGCACGAAGGCTCTCAGCCATGGCCTTGTCTTCCCTCAAATCTAGCTTTGTTCCGACAAGGATGATTGGGACGTTGGGAGCGTGGTGCTCGATCTCGGGGTACCACTGTACGGGGTTAGTCTGTGCCTAATAGGGGATAGTGAGTGCTCGGCGTAGACACGTACCTTTGCCTTCACATTGTCGAACGACGGAGGGCTAACGATCGAGAAACAAATCAAGAACACGTCGGTCTGTGGGTAAGAGAGCGGGCGAAGGCGATCATAATCCTCTTGACCAGCAGTATCCCAGAGTCCCAAGCTGATGGGCTTTCCATCGACCATAACACTTGCAGAGTAGTTGTCGAAACTACATTCAGGTCAGTCAACCCCTTCACGTCATGTCACTGCATCCTGCTTACACAGTGGGGATGTATTCGCCAGGGAAGGCATTGGTGGTATACGAAATTAGGAGACATGTCTGCGATGTGTTAGTCCAAGCACCTCTCCAAAGAACCAGCTCTCATTATTCACCTTTCCGACAGCTCCATCACCAGTGACCACGCACTATCGATGTGTGTTAGCTTTTGTTATGTCATGCTCTCGCCGAGACTATTCTCGCGGGGAGTCCAACCTTGAGAGACTGTGTCGCGGGTCCGGAAGCCATTGTTTAAGATCGTGACGATTAGGTTTAAAGATGAGATATGCGGAATCTAAATCGCTGCGTCGCACGGAACAGAAGGGTATATCGCAGAATAAGTCGACTAGAGATCGAGAATATCGGTCAGTGTGACACTTTGCGACTTTGCTTCCTATCGATAAGGACATGCGTACCTTGGAAGTTCCGAACAAGCAACGCTTTCAACGAGGACAAGATTCTTTTAAATACCAAGTTAGCGAGCTTCTTATTTTTCGTCTTGTCGGTCAAGGAGGCAAAACTGAAGTTCAGTTGTGCTGTACTGTGGTGGGGTCCGTACAAGGATGGAAAGTGAAGAGATGCGGTCGGATCGTCACAGTGAAGGTTTTCAGTTCAATTCACTTGCAGTCATGAACTTCGGTTGTTTTCGAAGGGGCAGTCGCTTTCTTGAGTCGTCAGGGCAAAGATGGAGAGGAACTGTTGCTTCTGCAGAGATCTCGAGTCCGTTCTGGGTGGAGTAGAGAGTAAGGGGTCGGACCGGGAGTGAGCGAGAGGAGAGGGAAGCTGTCTCAACACCGAAACAGCAAGATGATGAGACGGAGAGAGGACAGTTGAAGCAGCACAGGGTTCAGCGAGAGGAAGACGTCTATGATGAGAGTATCGGGAAGAAAGAGGACAAGCAGAAGAGATGTGAATTGTCTTTGTTCAAAGTGTCTCTGTCACTTTCTCTTCTTCTTTTTGGGGGGGGGGGGAAGAAGAAGAAGATCCAACGGTAACAACAGGAGAACGAAAGTTACTTGTGAAGCTTGTTCGGGCGTTGGTTAGGGCCTTGGCATCCTCTTCAATAAGGGATCATTGGGCTTCAACTCCCCCAAAGTGATGGACAGCGGAGAGAACCCTTCAACTGCTTCACCAATGCCACGAGAGAGTTTTTCGATGTCTATATTTATCCTTTCGACTTCTTCCAATGCGAAACCGTCGAGATCAACCTACGAAACTCAAATCCTCTCCTTACGCGCCGGCACCTTCTGGAAGTGCAACAGATAGGTTGTCAGACACTCTGTTGTCGCCAGAACTCAACCCTGAAACCCTTCACCCTTTCTGCACGACTCATGGATCGTTCCCATCCACCTAGATGGACCAGGTTCAGCAAGCCTCGTTAACGAGTCTCTCGCTTCGGTCCATACATTCATCTCTTGCCTTTGTCGAGTTACTGGATCGGCTCTTCCCTTTCTCCCCACTACAACCACTGCGGCATGTGAGAACGAGGACCTCTTCTCTCCCAGCTACCCGAGGGTAATGAACCCATACTATGATAAGATGCATATCGATATGTACCACCCACATTAGTCGCTCCAGTGACCACACTCTCATGCCCTCCCTGCAGATGAAGCTGTCGTCTGAAAGTCAAAAAGATGAACACCCGCAAAACCCTCACGATCCCTCTCAGAT